AACAATTTGTGCGAACGAAGAAGAGAATGTGATTATTATAGGATGTGTGACAACGTGAGAATGGAACATTTGCGCCTTGCGAGCGCGGTATTTAATTTATATAATGTAAATAGAGAAGTAAGTAATAGGTAGTAAATAGAGAAATATTGATCCGCGTTCGACGAATGAATATCTACGAAAAAGGGTTTTATTATGAATCGTAGAGTCGAACGCGAGATTGGCGCGTGGTACAAAATACATCTTAGGTCGAAGAGAAATAATTCAATTATCGTTCTTACATGTGACTTGTAGCGGTACTGTATATGTGCGTTATTAATGCAACGCTCTAATCAGCTGAGATAATGGGCCAGATATAGCTGTACAATATACGCATGTATTTATGTTAGCATAGCAAACAGAAAAAGATCCAAAACAACATGTTCGTCAACGATGAACGTTAACCGGATCAGTGTTCATTTAGTAATTTAAGATTGTCAAAGATATATATGTATAGTAAATCTCTCTCACGTGTACATAGTCATCTTCCGTTAAAGTCCATTTAATCATAGCAACGATGTATTAATAACAACGACGACAATGACGTTGTCATTATTGTTATATTCCTGTACGTAAAAGCCATAATTATATTTTATAATAAAAAAAGACGATGTTGCGAAATTCAACTCTCCTTCTTCTATGTCCCGATCGACTGACATTATTATTTACGACATAAAAAAAACACAAGAAGACGCTTTGGGTCAACACATTCCCACGAGGAAATCTGGAAATTCCCACATCGCAAACACGACATAAGTTTAGAGGAAAGAACGTCTTTCAGATATATATATATATATATGTATATATTGTCCCGGACATTTATTACAACCAAAAAAAAAGAATATCTCTTAAAAATATATTTATAACGATAATATAAAAAAACACGAAATGGCACGAGATTCTTATACAATACTCAATATTCCTGTCTCTGAGATCAATAATTCGCCATAAATACGTTAACGTATAATTACAAGTATAGATCTTGTATTTACTATGTATTTATTGATATAAGATAATGCGAAGTTTAGCATAAAGAATATAATTCAAATGAAACGGGGTTTTTGAAGATGTAAAAAGCGGCGGATGAAGCGGTGCGGTTAAATCCGCAACGGCGACGTAAAAATCTAGAGCAAGGGCCGGCCGTCGCGTGTTATTTCGAGTTTCGTGTAATGGTCTAGGCATTCCAAGAAGCTCGCGCTCATTCCTTTTTCAGGGAGTTTGATCCATAGAGAGGGAGAGAAAGAGAAAGAGAATTCATGCAGGTTTTGGGGTATATTTGGATATCGTAGAAACGACGGCTCGTCTGAGAGCGTGTTCCCCAACACGTAAGCGCGGAGTAATTATAGTCGCGTCCGCAGTGGAATGTCGCTCCCAAGATAGACGCGCGTCTCCTCGCTCATGGGAAATCCTGTGAAAAGAGGCGATTTTCACCGTCGGATTAACGTAATCAGCGATTAATTTGGCCTGTACCATTTTGTTAACACGTTTATGTGAAATAATACGTAAATTCATAGCCAAGAGCCCCAATATAGCTTAACGCTCTCTTCTCCAACTTCTGAATCCTCATCAGTTCTTAAAATGTTGTTCGTATCTCTCTAGGATTCTGCATTTGCCTACTACATTATTTAATATTTAAGATTCCAGTTGATTATAATTTTACTTAAATTTGATATAAAGAAAGATTAAATTATATAGGGATAAAAAATATTGAACATTTTGCTATAAGCAATTCTGCCGGTTAATTATTTAATCGCCAATCAAGTCGGAGTTTTGTCAAAATCACCATATAATTAGCGATCGATAGAGTTACTTGCAGAATAATTTCTAATTACATAATTCACCGTTTATTGATCTAATCTCTTTTTCCATGTGTCAAGCAACAAAAAGAAAATTCCAAACTCCAAACAAAATGTTAAATAGATATATACGTTAAATAGATATTACCTTGATGAGGTAATCGCCGATTAACCAGCAGTCCAGGTCATCCTAAATCGGATCGGACTCTTTAATTTAAATGCGCAATTCTTCGTAACAGTCTGAGTATTTTTTAAATAAATAATGATTTTTTAAGCCTTTTCATTTGACGAAAAAGGGTCTATTTTTTAAATTTAAACAATATCTTCGTCGTGCCCACCATATCTACATTCGGTACCCATCATTCTTCCATTTTCAAAACCCGCGTTTTAGAGATTCACCAGTATTATCAACCGGATTTTCCGGTAGATTCTTTCGCTTTAGCCGCAAAAATATGATATTAAAAAAAATAAGAGGTATTAAAAAAACAAACCTAATGTCCATTTCTATTTTTTCTAATTTTTTTTTCTAATTCTATCTTTTTTTAATTCTTAGAACTTAGAAAATAAAATAAAAAGTAATTAAGTTAAACAGAGATTAAAGTTAATCTACATTGGTAAAATAAAATTAGATATTAAATTAAAGGTCTAGTCTTTGTAGTGGAACTTCCTACATTTTTTGTCTTTCCTTCTTTTCCGTCTAATTTATAATTAAAATCAAATTATATATTCACATTTCGGTTTAATTATATCTTTAATTATTTGATTTAAAGTGAATAGAAAGTGTATAGTGCAACTCCAAAGAAAACTTATCGCATGATGGTAGAATGGATGCGCATGTTTGCTATAACTTTTCTTTACATAAATACGAAAAGATTACGATGATAACGAAATATCTCCAATAATCTAATTTATAGTAATAATCTACATTACTGGAACAAAAAGTCCTATTTTCATTTTTATATGCCCTATTATCTATGCATTTATTATCTATGCATGACAAATGTCATATATGTATGTCATCACTCATAAATGAATACTCATTAGGTCTGTTCTTCTTTGCATGTCTGTTCGATTGCACTAGGCTCACTTAAAATGAAATATATATATATAATTACATGGAGAAAAGAAAGATGAACAATATAAAAAGTACAAAGAATAAATTCGTTTTCGAGAATGGAATTCATACTTAAACGACGAAGACAAATTTAAATAAATAATTTAAAATTTTTTAAATGTTACAACAATAATATTTTTACTTAAAGCGATATTTTATGGCAAACAAATAAATAATAAAGGGAAACAGAGGTTTGGTTTCTTGACAGTATTTCTTGAAATTGAGCGTCGATGATATATGTACCGGAATGACGTGGCAGTTTTTCATAAAATTGATCGTCATTCATGAATGGCGGTCAATATGCTAATATACATTTTATTTTATTTACTCGCGTATTTTGAGATTCTCTCATTTAAAAACTGTTCAATAAATATCTCTTTACGTTACGCGGCGCGGAAAAACGTAAATAATAAATTTCTAAATTCCAAATTAGCATCGTTTTAAAGCGAACTCTATGAATTGCATTCACAATTACACGGAATATCCAACGTCATTCCCGCCAGAACGTTTACACGATTGCTCACAACGTGCGTGTGTATGTGTAGATATATACGGGGTGTTTAAAAAGTCATTAAGTATATAAATTTTTCGTCGTAAATTGCCGACTAATGAAATGTGCAAATGCAATTCTCCGCCGAGAATTATATAAATTCGATAAATAATGTTACAATAAAGAAAAAGAATCGCCTTTTACGCGCGCTCCATCTTATAGTCTTTACAAATTTCAGTTCTACAATCAGAGTTTAAAACCTATAAAATTTCCCGACGAGAGTACATCTTTCTCCAAAATATGCTGAAACTCCGTCTCTGCGATAAAAATCGTGACGAGGATGCGTTCCCCTAAATTCATCATAGAGATGGATGAAAGGGAAAAGATAATAATTCAGTTAATGAAAAAAATGATAATCTCCTTTTTTATTTTTCTCCCATCATTTTTTTCATTAATTTATTGTTATTATTTTCTTTTTCATCATAGAAATAATGAAAGGGAAGACAATAACTAATGAAAAAAATTATATAATCCCTTTCTTATTACTTTTTTTAGTTACTATCTTCTCTCTAAAATTTTATCTGGGTCTTCTAGATGAAAGCAAAGGGCGCGCTTTGTATTCTAGTAATGTAAAAAATAAAAATGAAAAAAAAAAAAATAAAAAATAAAAAATGAAAAAATAATTTACACATTTCACAAATTCGTATAAATATCGCCAACATTGACGCTCCTTCGAAAACGATCTGCGTTTCACACGAAATAACGCGGCGCGACTTCGTGAACACCCTGTATAATTATATGCACCACGTATACACGTCCTACCACGCGTTCGGTGAGCAGCGAGAGAAGCGTGGGGTCGCTGCTCGTCCGTTTCTGGAGCTTTCTGTCTGAAACCTGCGCCGGCACACACCACACACGCGTGCGGTGGCATACTGAACTGAGAGTGAGAATTTACGAGAATTCGCACGAGTCATCGTCGAACGTGTGTCTTTCGTCTTTCGCACCACGAGTGAATCGTACGGTCGTCGGAGAACGTGATAGAGAGGCTCAACATTTCCGGCGTGCGTGATGAGCGATCAGGTAAGCTGTTGCAACGAGGCACCCACGTTGTGGGTGGCCGTAAATTACGCGCGCGATCACTACGGCGAAGGCGTGCTCTCGGCGTTTCCTCGGGAACGCGTCCTCGCGTTCCGCGAGGTCGACGATTGTCCTCTCCTCCTCCTCCTTCTCCCTTCGGCGAATCTCGCCCGCGTGTATGAGACGATTCGTCTCTCCTCGAAACCGATCGCAACGAAACGGAGCAAGGACACGCGACAAGGCTAGATCAAGGATAAATAGATAATAAAAGATCGTGAGCTGATCCGATTAAAGTTATTAAGATTAAAAGTCTGGCTAATTAATATAGCCATTAACATTAACCTGAGAGATTCTGGCATCCTTCTGTGTCAATATCTGCATGACTGAGTATTTTATACATATATTATATACATGTGTGTGTGGCTTTGCAGGTAGCTTTGTTGAAGGAGAGAGGGAACGCCGCTTTACAGACAGGCAATTACGATGAGGCCATTAAATGCTACACGGACGCGATCAACCTGGACGGCAACAATCACGTACTCTACAGCAACCGCTCGGCGGCGTACGCAAAGTCCGAGAAGTATCAGCAGGCATTGGAGGACGCCGAGAAGACCGTCAGTTTGAAGCCGGACTGGGGAAAGGGTTACTCGCGCAAGGGCAGCGCTCTCGCTTACCTGGGCAGATACGACGAGTCTATCCGGGCTTACGAGAAGGGCCTACAGCTGGATCCGAACAATGCGCAGCTCAGAAGCAGTATGGCCGAGGTGAGGGCCCAGAAAACCGCCGCCGCGACCAATCCATTCAACTCGCCGGACATCTTCGTCAAGCTGGCGAGCGATTCCCGAACGAAGGGATATCTAGCTGATCCGGAATACATGAAACTGCTGCAGGAACTGCGAACCAATCCACAGAGTCTCGGTACCAAGCTACAAGACACCAGAGTGCTCACCACCCTTAGCGTGCTGTTAGGAATGAGCGCCGACATGGAGGAGGCAATGGAAACCGAGCCGATGAATCCGCCGGAGCCACCGAAAGCCAAACCGGAACCGAAGCCCCAGAAGAAGGAGGAGGATAATCTTCCGCCTGAAAAGAGAAAAGCCTTAGAGGAGAAGAAACTCGGCAACGAGGCTTACAAAAAGAGAAGCTTCGAGGAAGCTCTGCAGCATTACAACAAAGCTGTGGAATTGGACCCGACGGAAATCGTTTACTTGTTGAACATAGCGGCGGTGTACTTCGAGCAGAAGGAGTATCAGAAATGTATCGCTCAGTGCGAGAAAGCCATTGAGGTCGGTAGGGAGAACAGAGCGGATTTCAAATTGATAGCGAAAGCGTTCACGAGAATCGGTCACGCTTACAAAAAAATGGAGAATTGGAAGCAGGCTAAGGTGTATTACGAAAAGTCCATGTCCGAGCACAGAACGCCGGAGATTAAAACCTTACTCTCGGATATAGACAAAATAATCAGGGAGGAAGAGAGGAAGGCTTACATCGACCCGGAGAAGGCGGAAGAGGAGAAGGAATTTGGGAATCAAAAGTACAAAGATGGCGATTATCCCGCGGCTATAAAGCATTATTCCGAGGCAATCCGGAGAAATCCGGACGATCCCAAATATTACAGCAACAGAGCGGCCTGTTACACCAAACTGGCGGCGTTCGACCTCGGTTTGAAGGATTGCGAGAAGGTGGTCGAGCTGGATCCCAAGTTCATCAAGGGATGGATTAGGAAAGGAAAGATTCTTCAGGCCATGCAACAGCCGGGAAAAGCCCTGTCGGCGTATCAGAAGGCTCTCGAACTGGATCCGCAGAACAGCGAAGCGTTAGAGGGCTATCGCTCTTGCGCCGTATCCGCTACCTCCAATCCGGAAGAAGTTAGAAAGAGAGCGATGGCGGATCCAGAGATCCAGGGCATATTGCGAGATCCAGCCATGAGGCTCATCTTGGAACAAATGCAGAGCGATCCAAGAGCTTTACAAGAGTAAGTATTATATTAAAAACATATACCGGAATTATAGATATAGGATGGGAGTTGGGATCGAACAGGATCGAAGTAGAATCGTCAATTCGTAGTCAACCGCTTTCTTACGGAGCCACTCATCATCCCAGCAACTTTACTATACTTACTCTTTACTTTGTATTAACCCTCGGAAGGCAGAGGCCGGATTACTCGTGATCCATGCCTTGACTCTGTTTTGTTTAGACTGTTGTACGGCTCAAGGAGTCTTGAGCTCCAAACAAAATAACAAATCAAGTAAATAACATTCTCATATAAAAATTTATTTTGCAACACATACAAGAGAAACTTTACTATGAGTCAGAAGAAGTTTCAGGCGTTCCTCTTCCGAGGATTAATACACTACCGAATGTTCTTTGGAAATTCAACGATCATTCCCTTCTAAAATAATTTATCTATTTCCCTGTTTAATGATACGAATGTTTAATGAACCTTTTTTTTTTTTACAGCCATTTGAAGAACCCTGATATAGCTGCAAAATTGCAAAAACTTTTGGAATCTGGTCTCATCGCTATCCATTGAAGATGTAAGGAACCGCATACAACATACTTGTAATAAAAGAAGAATAACACTGCTGTCATAAGTTCCTTTAATATTAAGGAAATTCGCATTCGTGTATTGCAGATATATTAGCCATATGGGATACTTATCGTCATATTGCTCTGCTGTCACAAATTCCTTTAATATTGAGGAAATTCGCATTCGCGTATCGCAGATACATTAGCCATATGGGATATTTATCGTCATATTGCTCTTAAAATCTGTGTTCAAAAAGCCATTTAGAATAAAAGTTACATTATACATATGATTCTTTCGTGCAAACGCAGTGGCCTTTAGTGTCATCGATGACTTTTGCATTACAAGACTTGTTACGGTGATCACGTGTGTAACGATACATATATATACATATAGTGAGGCTCTTTGTGCAAAAATGAAGTGTAATTGTGAAGCTGGTGAACTCTTAATATGTAATATTTACATTTAAAAGGAAACTTACTCCGATGGCTGAATCGTGAATATCATCACTTTGGAAGTTGATAGCGTTATTATATGTTTTAGGTAATAAAATCGTCTAAAACTAGAAAAATAATCCTTTAAGATAGTAAAAGTTTTCCGTAAAATTATTTCTGTATATGATGCACACACTAACATTTCTTTTAAAAGTTAATTTAGTGCTTTTAGTACTAAAATTAGTCATAATAATATAATGAATGCGAAGTCAGACTAAGGCGACAACCGATAAGAGGAATGCTTCGAATAAACATCTTTTTAAACCGAGTTTTCTACTTGGGAACATTTATTGTCCTTATTAACACCTCTGTTATATCTACTTAAAAACTATCCTGATTATAATAGGATACGATTATTCTAAGACTTCATAACGCACTGATATTATTGTATTTCTTATCATAGTCCTCTTTTATTTTCCTATAAAGTTTATATAATATAAAAAACAGTTTATATATATACCAATTTTCAATTATCATATTTGTAATGTTTCCACAACTTGTAATTTGTTGCAAATATTATTAAATTATCAAAAATTATACACATTTTATAATACATTACAGTAGGCGATTTTTGACGATCTTTAGATATACCAAGGTTGCTCTTGGTAGGGGCGGATCTTATTCTGTTAAGATGTACCGCTAAAACATATTGATTGTTAACATTACGCCAAAAAAAACATTGTTCTTTTCAATACGCGCGAAACTTGTGCTTATAGTATAAATGTGATTGAAACACCAAGTCCAAGATAAATTTTACACGAAATAAATATGTAAAATACATTGTTTACATCTATTTGTGTTATATTTGGCGCGTATTTGCAACTTAACAACAAGTACCAACAGGTATCCTGGTTCATTACTTGGTATAGCGTAATATCAACCAACTAGGTACCAAAACGGCTATATCACGAATTATCAAACACGCGAAAATGTTCTGGTACAGTTTGGTACACTTTGGTTGTTATACTAGAGTCACGCCAAAAATCGCCTAATATAATACTATCATGCCGCATACTACAATGATACGTGCGAAAAATCCAGATGTATATTGCGAACATATAAAAAATTATTTTTTCCTCGTTTTCCTTATGTGAGATTTCATACATAAAGTATCTTTCAAAAAGCTATCAATGATGAAAAATGAAATTAAGAAAATCTCGATGGAGATCACAGTAAACTTCAACCGTTTACATGTGTATGTGTGTTATCTCCTGGATGCACGAAAAGACAATAAAAAAAATAATAAGTTTTCTTGATTGTAGACTTTATAAATAAAATATTCTTATTTTAACCATGCGTTGTATCGTCTTCGACGAAATCGGCCGCTTCTTCCCGCGTCACGCATTCGACATGCGAAACTTTATTTCTGAACTTCACTCCATAGAATTTGTTCGCATGGTGCAGTAATTCCGGTCTACAAAACAAATACATTTTAATTTTTTTTACATTGACCGATAACCATAATAATTCTGTCATCTTAAAACGAGCGTGAATCAGGCTCAAAATCCCTTACAAGACACTAATTCTATTACCTGAATGTCGTGGTAATGAACTGGGCATCGGAACTAAGTTCGTGGATCATATCTGCTACCGCCTTTCTGTGTTGCGCATCTAACGCCTGATCGATTTCGTCGAACAAGTAAAACGGTGCAGGATCGCACTTTTGTATCGCGAATATCAGGGCCAACGCTACGAGTGATTTTTGTCCACCAGATAATTGATTCATCTCTCGCATTTCGCCTCTGTGTCCCGTGAATGACACTTTTATGCCTAGAAATAATATAGATCTAAGTTTTTGAAATCATAAATAAAAAATATATATCACACAAATATAGCTAGCTCAAAGAACAAAATAAATTAAATTTTTAAATAAATTTTTCTTATTATATTGCACAAAATATTTGAGTCATATACATATATAAATCTATTTCCTCACCTACGCCAATAAATCTATCAGAATCTGATGGCTCCGCTGTCCCATCATCTCCTTCATCGCCGTCCGCAGTCCTCATAACCAATTGTGCATGCCCCGAAGGTACAAGTTTTTTGAATACTTCACTGAAATATTTGCTCACCTTAAAAAAAAAAAAAAGATTGTCACATGAAATTGTGTTTAAGAGTATGTTATCGTAATAGATTAATATATCAATATTAATCCTCCACTGTTAAGTCAAGTCTAAACGATACACTATACAATATATATGTATATGTATAAAAACAGACATACCTGTTTAAACGTAAATTGTATCGCTTCACATTTGCGCTGTTCAAGTACCGACATGAGTTCTTTTATTTTCTCGTCGCCTCGGTCCAATTCTTCTTTCCGTTTCACTAATCTTTCTTTCTGATCGCTGAAGGACATGAACTGATCCAAAGCTTTTTTATTTACATGGCTAGAAAAAACATAATAAATACGTTAAGAAACAACAGTCTTTAATTAAAATAGTAACAGTAGATAATTATTAATAATTTTTGCTTTTAATCAGTTTACTACATTTAAATAGAAAAAAATATGCACCTATATTTTTTTAGATGATTATTTGCCTTTTCCATTTCTTTAAACAGCTGTTTCGTGGACATTGTATTAAACCTAGAATAAGCCTCGTGACTAGGCAACGCGCCGAGTTCAGTAATCTTCTGTGTACATTCCACTATTTTCTGCTGCAAGATATTTAACTTGCTTGCTAATTTCTCTAAATCTTTCGCGTCTGCTTCTATTTTCTCTTGCGCCTCTTTTTCTTTCAATTTCCATTTTTCGACTTCAGCAGACTCCAATTTTTGCTAAACGTACGACAAAATGGACGAATTAAGGATTATATTACTTAAACATATACAAGTGATTACTGTGTTTTTAAATACTTACTTTCTTCATTGCACTGGTCACTTTTTCATTCTGGGCTTTGAAGTCCTCGTTTACTTTCACTAGTCTCTTTTCGATATCCGCCAACTGAATTTTTGATGAGTCAAGCTGCCGCTGTCGATCCTCAACTGAAATCTCTTGTAAAGCTTGGACCAGCTCATCCTTTCTTCTTACTAAGTTGTTTGTTAATAAGTTTTCTAACTTATTCTTCTCTGCTTCTAATTGCATTCGTTTCGCAAACGCTTCTTTGTTTTCTTTCGTTAAGCGTCTAATGTCGTCATTTAAAGTGTCAACCTACAAAAATCGATAATCAGTAAAGTTTCAAATCTTTACCCGAGGTGGAGAAAAAGAAATGAGGATATGTTATTCTTCAATTCAACTACATTGAAAATTCGTTCTTTACGCGCACCTGATGCTGATCCGCGACGGATAACTGCGCCATGAGTTCTTGATGTAACTCACTCTCTAGGCCATCTTTAGTTGCGCGCATTGCTTCCAAACTTGATGTGCACTGTGCAAGACTTCTTTCTTTCGGAGTCCGGTACCTTTCTATAGCACTCAATTCTTCCTTCATAAGACGTATCTCTGCTTTTATTTTATCATATATATCTCTGTCAAGTAAATGATAAAACACTGATTAATCTTCACATAATTGAAATTGATAATAAAATTTCACCATTTATTTCAATAATTAAATATAAATATTTAAATACTATATCAAATGTAAAATTTGACATTAACACTAATTATAATTCTAAGTTAAAGATATTATTTAATTACTTACTTAGCTTTACTATTTTTGGTCTCAGTTTTCTGCATTTCGCTAACGTAAGAACTAATATTTTGATCCGCCTTTCTGATTTCGTCCTTAAGCGTCGTTAATTGGGTCTCGAGAGTAGAGATCTGTGACATTAATTCCGATCTTGTTTTCTGTATCTCGAGCCGTGACCTGAGTGTATTGAAATATCCGCCAGTTAAGGAGCCTTTGGATGAAACCTGGTCTCCTTCTAACGTAACGCAATCTAAGCCGGAATCCCGCGCCAAAGTCGTTGCTGCCTCCAAATTACGACAGATCAAAGTCTTTCCAAATATATATCTATATTTGACAAAAAGATAATAGGAATAATATCAAGTCTGTATATCACAAAGAAATGTAACAAGAAAAAAATATTTATTTTATATGCTTTTACCTTAGCGCTTTATCAAATTTGGGATCGTAATTCAACTTGGATATCATGGGTATAGCATCGGAGGTCTGCGGATAATCGATGTCCTTCACGTGAAGTCTATTTAGAGGCATAAAAGTTACTTCTCCCGGCAACCGTTGATTGTTCATTTCTTTTAAAATTTTCGTGCCGAACTTATCGGTCTCCACAATATGATGGAACAATCGATTCCCAGCGGTTACTTCAACAGCCATATAAACGCTCTTGTCGCAGTTGAAATTTTCAATTACAGGCCCATAGTAGCTGCTCACTTCATTAGCCATATCTTTTCGTCCACTATAAAACCGAAGATATTACTCGTAATGTTATCATCATCATCATAAGTTTTCAATAGCAGCGTTTAGAAATCTTTTAAATTATGTAGTATACTTATGTCAAAAAAAAATTAATCTTACCGAAAAGTGTCTAGCACTTTACGTACGCTGTCCCTGCCATTCAAAATAGGCTTGCCAGCCATGGATCTTAGACTCTGATCTGCTTTCGCTAAATCTTCCTTCAGACCAGATAGATTTAATTGCAATACACTCTCTTGCCGATACCTGCAATTTGACGCACTCAGCTTGTAAAATTCTAAGATTTCTAAGTAACGCGTATGTTAATTTAGTAAATTGAACATACTGTTCTTTTCGTGTTGCTTGACACTGATCCTTTGATTTCGTGAGCTCGTAATATTGTTTGTTATGATCGTCTATTGACGCACGTTGTCGTTCCATCTCACGTGTGTGATCTCCTATTTTCTTCTCCAAGGCATCATGTTTCTCTGCATCACGTTTTAAATCTTCGCTTATCTTTTTCTGATGCTCTTCTTTATCCTTTATCTGTTTCGTGAGTTGCTTAAGTTCATTTTGTATCCACTTGTCTCTTTCATCCTATAAAAAATAAATCTCTTTAAAATATCTTACTAGACCTCAAGTAGAACGAAAATGTAATTTAAATTATTCTAATAATCGTGATTTTTTTTCTCTTTTACCTTAGTAGTGAATTGACTGCCACGACCTTGTTTAGCATACAGCTCTTTACGTTTCTGCTCTTTTAATTGCAAGTCTCGCGTACATTCTTCCTCAACACGTTTCATTTGTTCATACTGTAAAGAAGGTTTTCTATATTAATATATTGGATTAATTATATTGGACTAAATATATTAAATATCTGAATATTTTCTCACCTTTGGCTTAAGATCCTTTAGCTCGTCTTCCCGAAGACCGATTTGAGTTTTCAATTTTTCTAACTCTTGTTGAGCACGTTTCTTGCTGTCATTATCACCTTTTACCTCCTCCAGCAAGTCGTTAATCGTAAAAGTCAACTTGTTTTTCTCTTTTAGTAATTGCTGCTGCTCTGCACTGCATTACAAATATTTTATTACAAATATTTTTTCTCTGCTATGTTTTTATCCATTTTATACAATCTTTGGCACACGTTACCTGAGAGTGTCTCTTTCTTCTTTGGCAGTCTGCACTTCTTTCTTCGCTTCCTTCAGCCTCTTCGTAGCTGCACGTACCATCTCTTGCGCAGTTTTTGCTTCGGCACCCAATTTCGCCTGTTCGGCTCCACTATTCGCTCTTGACTCCTCGAGCTCTTCTAATTTCCTTTTATTTTCCTTAAGTTCGCGTTCGTGGATCGTATATTCTAAGCAACGACGTTGCTTGTCCCAACGTTGATACTCTTTCAGTTCCTCTTTCTCTTCCTCGAGCGTTTTTAAACGCTCCTCTGTAATAAATTAATTACTTTTATTTGTAATTTATTTATCCTGAAAATATTTCGTTAATTTTGATCTTTACCTATTGTTCGCAGAAAATCCTCGATTTTTTCTAGTTTCCCTTCTGTTTCTTTCAAAATAGATTTTGATTCTTCTCTTCTGTCATCGTATACTCTAGTACCTGCTACCTCTCTTAATAGCTTTAATCTGTGCGAATCTGGTGCTGTTGCCATTTGGTTTATCTGCAAAACAATTATATTATACTAAAGATAATTATACTAAGATAAATATGTGCTACGTTAACGAACCTTTCCTTGCTTCACAATGTAGTATGGATTGGATCGAGAAAATCCTGCCGACTCCAATAAATTCATCACGTCGTTTCTTGTTACAATCTTTTTGTTGAGAAAATATTGATCCTTCTTGGAGCCAATCACTCTTCTTAAGTAGACCTCATCTTTATCAATCTGTAAATAAAAGATTGCATGTATTATTTATTACAAAATAATATAAATCTAGATCAAATATAAAGTAATATTAAGAATATATATATTTTTATATATATATTTATAATTATATATAAAAATAAGTTACAATAACTTTAGCTAGTGATGTAAACTAGTTATTTTTACCGGTAATCTTCCATCGGTGTTATCAAATATGATTTCTACGTGGGCAGATATAACACGAGGTCCCGTTCCTTCGTGCAGCAGCGCCTGCCTCTGCTCAGGTCTGAGATGAGAGAACTCATCGCTCAAGACAAATTGAATGGCGTAGAAGAAGTTACTCTTGCCAGATCCGTTTCTGCCAACTTTGAAGAAAATATCCAGTTACGACATATATATATATAATCGTACTAATTGCACATTAAATCTGCATAAGATCATTAGCTACGTACCCACTACATTGTGCTTCGAATCGAAAGGTTCAACAACTGTTTGTTCACGGTACGACTTGAATCCTTGGATAATTACCTGTTACAATGCAAATCCACAATGAGTACATGTAATGTCTAATGCATTAAAAGTAATCTCACTAATTCAATAAGAATCACGGTGACAACTGTACACTAATACTTTAAACGGAGCTCTGGAGTACTAGCTTAGGAGACAGTAACTTATAATTTACGGTAATTCCACATGAAACAGTATAGTACTCCAAAATTTAAGAAATGGAGCAGACAAAGAAAATATGAAAACGGAGCAGTGGACTCTAATGAAGGCTGATGGCAGAAAACGAGACGTAGGTGCTTACGTCTATCGTAGTCGTGGACGTAAAGTAAGACGGAGGAGTCGTGACAGGCTATTGTACAAACGACAAACGTCTCGTTCTCTGCCATCAGCCGAAGAGACGAGGAGTAGACCACCCGTCAAGCGTGGCGCGTTTAGGGTTGCGACGCGATTTACTCGCGATTTTGCTCACGTTACCTGTTTGATGTACATGATGCGACGGGAAGTCAGACGCGCATATCATTCGTGTCGGCGTTGGACGGGGACGCGGTCGGGCATACGAGAGTCCCAGACGCCAAACGCGACGAAAACATTCGACCGATTTGTTGGCAGAGCGACATTTGTATAACACGCAGGCTGGCGGCCGCCGAAAAGTCCCCAGGTTTGGGCGGGAGAGACGCGGCTGACGGCTGACGGTCCTCGTTCGGGAAAAAAAATACGACGCGGTCGGAGCAAACCACTGGAGCAAATGCGCAAGCAAACGATTCTCATCAGAAAGCGATTCTGATTGGTCAAGTACAAGGTCTGTTCTTTGTCGCTGGATTGTCTGCCTTCGAAGTCCAAGTATAATATATAATTTCGATATAATAATTACATTAATGCAGGTAACATAATTAATATATATATATATATATTAAAGAAAAAGAGAAAAGAGAAAGCTGAGCTTCTATTTAGCCGAACTTCTTGCACAGTTCATCTTTTTTCTTTTTCTCTCCAACGTGAAAAGAAAAATAGGAAAGATGAACAGTGCGAGAAGTTCAGCTAAAAAGAACAGGCTTCCTGGGTGCTTTATGAATTAACCTATATATAGCATAGCATGACATTTTGAAGAGCCTTGTAGAGTAGAGTCGCGTCAAAACACCTTCGAGCCAGTCCGAGCTCCGAGACATCCGACCCCGATGCATCTCCGGGTCTCCGGGATGTACCGTACGGCACGATGAGCATATTGAGCATCGGATGCCAGCAGATTAAAGCAGAAGTGTGGAAATTGCTTGTTTTAAGCGAATAAGATCCGTCACTGACCGCGATGGCATCAAGCAGAAGTACGAGAGAAGTTCTGCTATCGCTAGTGGACGATATTGAGTTAATAGCGAAGTAAGTTATAGTTGCTACAAATAATAGGTGTTAATTAATGTCATTATAATTGATGTTCCTAGATTTAATATCATTCCTTGATTAAAAGAAGAATTGGATATTTTACATAACTGGAGTATATAAGAATACACTTCGGAGGAGAATTTTAAAAGAAATTTGTAGTTAACAGATTATTCTAATCTTTACAGGTTGTTCTCTCTTGTGTATTGTATATATGTTTTCTTGTCAGTTTAAATATATCGTCCTGTTTTTTTCTTTTTCAGGGAGATGATAGAAAACACAATCGCTCAAAAGCCTTCAAAACTCTCGAGCACAGAGCACGCTCAGTTAACCGAATTGTTGGTAGCTAAGGATAACGAGTTAAAGGCGACGCTGAAACGGGCTGCCGAGCAAGCTAAGATCAACCTGAAGATGGAGGCGTTGAAAGCTGAGGTAGAGAGGCAGGATCAGGATATTCAGCAGCTGCAGCGACAACTGAAGGAAGCGGAACAGATCTTGGCTACTGCGATTTATCAAGCGAAGCAGAAATTACAATCTATCGCGCGTGCCAATAAAAGGCCGGTTCCTTCGGAGGAGCTTATTAAGTATGCGCACAGAATAAGCGCAACCAACGCAATTTGCGCGCCTTTAACGTGGCAGCAGGGAGATCCCAGAAGGCCATATCCCACGGATATCGAAATGAGATTAGGGTATCTGGGACGATTGAGCGATCTACCTTTAAACGGACAGTTGCTCGGGTCTCATCCAGGTATACCTGATTTACATAGGGCGGGACATCCTGCTGGAGGTAAAGTATCTTTCATATACACATATACTACACTTGACTTAACAAGAATAAGCAGATTTTCAAGGAATTCCTATTGTTGTTGTTTCAGAACCACCCGTTTCGCAATCGAACCAATTTGCCTGGCATCCATCGGGAGAGATTCATATGTCGGTTGGTGGGCAGGGTAGCGTGGCTGTGAATACGCATAAACAAGAAACAGAAGACGTCGAAGTTATGTCTACGGACTCCTCGAGTAGCTCGTCTAGTGATTCTCAATAGAGTAATATATATAATAATTAAAAATAACAATAAGTATAAATATCATTACATCATGTCTGAAATGCGTAAGGTATTAAATTTCTATAAAGCTCTAGCTATTTGCATGAAATGTGACAAGACTATTGAAAAGAAACTTCAATCATAATCGGTGCATAATGTTACAGTAATATCAATTAACATAAATAATAAAAGTATACGGATATAGTGACGGATTTACATTTTTAGTTGGAAGCTAATGTTCCTAGATCTTTAAAGTTTTACTTACATATGTGTTTGTATATTATAGATAATGCTTTTTGGTTATCTGTTACAAAAATCGACCCGACTGTAGAAATGGGACTCGAATTCCATATCCTTCCAGTCTGGAAGAGAGTAATTTCGCAATTATGCTATAAATGTGCGGTTATTTTTTTTATTAGCGCGCTCAGCGGTTACCATACGCTAAAATTACAACGCTAACAATTACACAATGTATATTGAAAATATCTTATCCAACCGATAAAATTAGAAATATTGATGTCATAGATAAAGGAGATTGCTGTTGCAGCAAAAGAATCGTCAGAAAAAGACAGGAGTAGATATGTCATATCGACCCTTTTTTATTTTTGCCCACATTTGGCTTAGAGATACTGCTGTTGTCTCACTAATCATCTTATAGCATCGATCACAGTACATATAACAAGCATTTATTATTAATATAAAGTTATTTACATGTTATAAAACCATCTTTCCAAGATAGATACATGTATAAAATGTGCAATCAAATAAATTTTCTCTTAATATAATTATTTAATAACGAATAACAAAGTTGTAGTTGAAAAAAAAAAGAAACAAAAACATTACATCAACTTAAAGAAATGTGTCGATACATATCTATTATACACGTCTTTAATATCCTTGAAGTTTAAACTTCATTAACTTATTGTTAGATCCACTAGATCCACAATTGCATATAGAGGAGTATGTTATATAAAAATTAATTCAACATTCATCGTAAGAGGTACATTCCAAAAGAATTTTTGGCATAAATTTATGTAACGTGGCAGAAGCGTAATACATCTCAGGACTGGCCTACAATAAAATAATAAAAACGAACGATAAAATAAAAGTATTCGCACTTTAGTCTAGAATAATTGACATCTGAATTTTTGTACTAACCAGCAAGACTTGTTCATTGAACTGTGATTTTTGAAATAAAACATTTTCATTAGTGAACGTCAAACCAAATAACTTGCAATCCGCCTGGATTTTACTTATATCTTTGTAGAATAAAAGTTCTTGCAATTTCAGTCCCGGGAACGTCAATACTTTGCTATTATAGCCACAACTCATAATTTGCAGAACATTTCTGGAATATAATACACATTTCTTACCTAGTTATTTTAATAAATTACTTAGCATAGCTTTTCATAATTATTATCGAATATTTTGCGTACGTGTAATAAAAATAAATGAATACCTTTTGAAGCTTTGCAAATTACAAAAAAATGCGCAAGCTAGTATCGGAGGTAACTGCTTAACCAGACGACGAACACAAACGTAGTTTCTTAAATACCAAGCAAGCGATATCCTTGTAGCTAATCGAATTGCTGATGATTTTCTGCACAACGCAAGAAATAAATATGTAAAGATTTAATGATACTAGAGATTCATAATGCACGTGAATGCTTATATAATTTATATTAATAATCCTTTTAAATTTCTTTGACAACCTACTTCAAATCTGACGAAAGCGTAAGAGCCCTTTCTAAAGCCTCGCGATCTCCAATATGGAGAAGAATATATATAGCTTCCATCTCTGACCGGCTATCGTTTAATGTCAGTTTTTCGAGATCTTTGTATACTTCTGTACTATCTGTTGCATCTCCACGACTTCGTTGATCGTACAATACAAGCAGCTGCTTGATGCATTCTAACAAATGTTTGCTATTTATCTTTGCGTCGAATTCCGAAATGTCTCTTTCACACAGCCTAGAAAAAGAACCTGTTTAACAATAATTTTTCAATTTTTTAAAGAGTATAAATTTAATTAACTTGTACCTCTGTGCGGCGTATACGTGAAATCGAACAATTGGTTCCAGAAGAAGAATACTCGTGGTGATATCGACTCTTTGTATTACAGCATCCTGCCGTATTGATCTCAATCGGTCGAATACAAAGTCGTATATCGACGCCCAATCTAAATCCGTTCGCGTGATTATCCTGAAACAATATACGGTAAGTATTACACGAGTCTTGCCATGGATTATAAGCAATGTTCCAATGTTTTATTACGTAGGTATGAAACAAGCATTTTCTGATATTTAGCAGATGCTAATATTTAGCAGTAATTCGTGTACTCTTACAGATGAATCATACTTAAAGAGATAGGCGAAATTACTTGGTGAACAAGTATCGGACAGTGGATAATAATACATGCGGCGGGCGCAACGAATTCGGATCGGTCATGACTTGTCCAGCGGCAGAGCGACTGAAGCATTTTACAGTTCTTGCCGGATCAGCTTTGGGTCTTCTCATGTGTTTCGTACCCTCGTCAATTTCATATTTGTGCAACAAGCCTTCCCTCTCTCTCCTGAATGAAAAATTTCCAGATTTGAGAAGTCAAATTCTTATCGTCGATCGCATATCTCATTACACATTACACATAAAAAATACAAGACAGGTGATAATTTCTTTTTACAGTTGGTGCTAACAACACCAACTATCTTGTCTTGTTTTTGAATGTAAAGAAAAGCAGAAAAATAAATCAACATCATTATCGCGACAAAACTCGATGTCAAAATCCACGTTTCAAAGTTTTAGTTTATAAAACTTTCTGCATCGCTGGAAACTTACATCCGTCGCTCTTTTTCCGGACACATGGAAAGGCATCTTCCCGCTATTACCTCGACGGTCGTCATTGCGCCTCCTTACGCGTTTATCGCCACAGGTTTTATTTTAAAGAGGCATATTATTTATACTATTCACGTGGGAATCAGGCCGCGTTATAAACAACAAACAAACGATTTACCGGTCGACAGGAGTCACGGCCGAACTCAGGTGCACTATATGCACTAAGTGCACTTTAAGCTGCACTTTAACTCCGTATTTTATTTATTATAAATTAAAGAAGAGACATTCGAGATTCGAAAGTTTCGAGGCCGCGAGGTTAAACATATACATGATGTATGTACATACAACAACAGACTTTACTCCGGTTCCCATGGAGACGTACGTCGATCGAAAATACGCAAGATTTCGCACGTCATCGAAATATGAAGTACATACCTGACTCGAGCCATGAGCCACGGAGCTATGTAAGATAAGTCACCGATGAAAAATAATGGC